CCCCAAAACCCCAAAACCCCAAAACCCCAAAACCCCAAAACCCCAATCTACTGCTAGATATAGATATAATAAATTATTCATAAGATGAAAGAGCCAGACGAATTGCCTAAATTTTATGATAGCAATTCCGCCCTAAAACAAGCAAAGAGCGACTTTAGACAACTCCTTAAGCATTACAACATCATGCAGGAGGGAGCACAATCGACTGGGGATACTGACATCAGGTACCTTAAGGAACAGGCCAAGGCTAAATAAAGGTATCCAGTGTTGGATTTCACTATAGATTCGACTAAAAGAGAACTGATGACGCTTATGAAACAGAACCTTGCTAAGCTGGAGAAGGGGCACGCACGCGTTCGTCAAGCCAAGGCTCAAAATAAGCGGATTAAGGAGTGTTATCTCCAGATCGCTGAAACATTTAAAAATAGCTTTACTCCACTCCAAGAGTATTCAGCAGTAATCAACCAAGCTTTTACAATGAAGAATAATATCTCTCAGCTGAATAAATCTCTAAAGCAGTTTGTAAACCTTGGGGAGGAGGTCAGCATGCTTGTAGCTGATCTGGATGACCCACAGAAAATTATCGATGTTTACAAGAAACTTGTCATCTTGATCAACCTCCGGAGGTCTCTTATTGCTAAATTTAAGGAGTCTGACACCCTTGACGAAGGAGATAATCCCATAAAACTTAAGAAGTTAGAGAAGGAGTTCACTGGCATCAAAATTTTGGAGGAGAAATTCTTTGAGAAAATGCATGGATTTATGGAAAACCATCAATTTATTATCCAAAAGCAACCAGCTTACTTCATTAAAATCATGAGAATCATTGAGTGAGATAATAAGATCAGCCAAATGAAAATAACAAGTAAGCCATTTCAGACTATTCAAGAGGAAGTAGAAGGCATTGAAGAGACTAAAGAGCCTACCTCTACTGGGGCTCAAGAGGAAAATCACTCTTTTGGGTTGAAAGAATCTTGAACAAAAGAAATAAGTAAGACAGTTCAAAAACAAGCTAAGGATGCTTACGAAAAAGCATTTACTGTTGAATCTATCATTGATATATCAGAGAGATTGATAAAGAGTTTGAATAATGTCGAAAAGGATCTAGGCCATGTATTCCCTCCTTCATATAACATCTCACATATCTATTTCTATGCCTATAAAGAGGTCATCCTTGAGAAGATCAATCCATACATCTCAAATATGGAGAAGATTATAGAGAATGGAGATAAGTCCCTTCTGCTACTTCTTGTGGCCTTTGTAGATACAAGTGAACAGATCCTAACCAAGCTGGATATCAAAGATGAAGCCTTGATTAGCATCAAGGCCCAACTAAGCAGATTTATCCCAACATTCTTAGACCATATAGAACATCTTCTTGAGGACCTTCTGTTAGGTATCAGAAAGCAGTTTTATTCGGAATATGATAAGTTGATCTCTGTCAGAGAGTCTAATATCGGAATGGCGAGAAGGTCTGAGATAGACAGACTTTGGACCAACATGCCAGATGATATATTCACCTTCATCCAGAAGCAATTTGATATTGTAGCTGAAAGACTGAGCGGGAGTCATTTATTTGAAGTCCTAAAATCCTCCCTCTCTAGAGTAGGATGGCTAATGAATAATCTTTCAGAGAAAGCAGAGAAGGTAGGCACCTATTCTAAACACTCTAGATTATCTTCGATGTTGCAATGAATGGCCCATCTAAAGAAAGCAAGGGGTTTGAAGGCTTTATGATATACATTAATGATTTCAATGAGATTATCAACATCTTTGAAGACTTCTTCCAAGAATATGTCATTGCCAAAATATCAGAATCTGAAAAAGAGGAAGAGAAGAGGGCAATAGCTAAAGAGAGGGTACAGAACATTTTGACAACCACTTATCGTGACATTTTAAAAGCAAGGAATGATATGACTGCTAAACTTCCCAGATATGTTCTGATCCATGACCTTGAGAGGGAAGATTTTATTTATCTTTTTACTAAAAGATGGGAAAACAATAAAGGTGAAGATACTATTAGTAATGTCCTTGCTACTATAATGGAGTACATTACTGAGATAGATGCTTGCTTCAAGGAAGGAGGCAACAAGAACTTGCTCAAAACAGTTACAGGGCAGTTTCTAAGCAAGATTATTAGTGAAGCTTACTTCTTAAAGTTGTTGATATCAATTAATAAGAGAAATAATCTAAAAATTCAGCTCCCAGATGATGAATATATTGCTTCATTACTTCCATTCACATTTGCAGAAAGTCAGTTAAAGCCAAAATCATCGAACAGGATAAGTAAGTTTGCCTTAATTTTACCAAATAGTTAAGGATGGAAATGATTATTTCCACAGTGTTACTATGCTTATCGAAGGAATTCAGCAGGATAAAGATACATTCCAATCTTTCAGAGAAAGGAACACTAGCTCAGTGGGTAGTAGTGTCTATAGTACTATTCTCACACAATTCTCGTCAGTAGTTCTCATTCTTTCTATGATTTACAACAGTACTACAGATATTGAGGAGATTATGCATCTACTTCCTGACTACATTCAAAGCTTTAAAAAGATTCCTTACAGCAAGGAATTGCTCATAGCTATGATTAATATTGACCCGTCCAAAATCAGCAGTAAGGTCATTGCCAAGCAATTTGAAGAGATCCTGAACAAGTTTGATACCCTCAATGGGGCTAATTAGCAGACTTGTGTATATTTGAGAATCTTTCAATCCGATGTTCACCCTAAGGGGTTTTGGGGTTTTGGGGTTTTGGGGTTTTGGGG